GCAGTGATGACTGGCTCATCCGTCATACTCGTGAACGAGTGCTGCTTGTAGGGACTGGTCTGCTCTTATCACTAGACTGATTTAATCTTATTGTATATTTATATTTGACCCAAAAAATTAGTGCTGGTTGGTAGTTTGTATTCACACGTTTCGACTCGTAAATGTAAACTTGCAAGGGTTATTTAAAAGAGCAACACACAAGTTTCTTGCTCGTTCTTCTTGTAATGGACAGTTTTCTGAACGAGCGATAGATAAAAATGTTATGACTATTCAAAAGTGCTTAAATTAATTTTGTTTGAATAAATTATTTTCTATTCTATTCTAACACATTTGAATACTAAAGTACAGCACGTATTTATGGCCTAGAAAATAGGAATACAGATATATGACACTGCAAAATAACTAAACTTCTTACTAACATTATAAACGCGAAAGTATTTTTACTGTTTTTTTTTTTACTTTTTCACGTAAAAACTACTAAACGAATAATTTTAATGAAACTACAGTAACATAGCTTATATTATACATCAGAATAACACATGTTACAAATTTCACGCTTGTAAGAGAGCACAGCTTGTAAGATATAAAATAAGGGATCCATTTGTGACCTATAACACATTTCTGTAGTGCATCTGGCATGTTCGCTCTAGCACGAACAGATGACTTTTATGCCATGATCTGAAAAAAAAACGCATCTTTATTCATCACAACGCGCCGTAGCTCGAACAGCATTCTGAATACATTGATGAAAAAATTTGACCTACCAATTACACAATATTTTGTTAGTATACTTGTTAGGCAAAGATGTAATAACTTGTAACCACTGTTAGTCTAGTGCTACTAAATATATTGTAATAAAATAAAATAAAATTAGGATTTTACTAACAATAGATTTAAAATATAATTAAAAATATATTCGAAATTGCGTGTTACATAATTACTTACTTAACACTCCTGTGTATTTTGTATTTGTATATAATATGTATGTGTATATATGTATACAAATTGTATATGTAAATTATTATTATTTAGTACTAATATGCCTTTTTTATTTCTCTAGTCCATTCTTGCGCCATCTACCACTTTCTGTCTTCTCTCCTCTACCCAAAGGTTGTCTGGAAGAGATTGCTTAAGCGATAAGACCGTCTTCTGTACCTTATTACTTATTACTTATTTGTTCTTTGTTTAATTGTTTGTCTTTCTGGTGCAATAAAGTGTTAATAAATAAAATAAATAAATAAATTACTAACAAATGAGCAATTGATGCCATAATAAACACACTTATTATTATTATTATTATTATTATAAGCTTACAAGTAACCAGCTTATCACTAACTCGACATAAATATAAATGAAATAAAATAACTGAATAGTTCGCAGGTGAACTGCGACCCAAATACAGGGATTCGAACCGCGTATTATTGTGTCCAAGACTACTATCAACTTTTTCACTTAAATAAATATATTTTTTTCTAACATAATATATAAATTCAGGCCATTCACATACAATACAAACACCACCGGACCCAAACTTCAAAGAGCCCTCTGTAAGGCGAAAAATTGAGATAGATCGGCCCTAAAGTGAGGCGGTAGATTCACACTAACAAAACTGAGCGGTAGCGCGACTGTGTTTGTACATATATTTTTAATTTATTTAGTTATTCATTTCAATATTACAACACCATTACAGTATATCCAAACTATATTGAAATAAATAAATAAAAAAATTAATTAAAAAAAAAATATTAAGTAGTGTAAAAGTATTGATTTCAATAGGCTTAGATTGTAAATTCTTTCAGCGATCTAGCGGTTTGAGACAGCAATTTTTATTACACTATGATGGTGGCAAACTAGCATACGGTCCATCTAATGGTAAACTGTCACCGTAACCTATGAACGCCCAAAACAGGGGTGTCACGAACGCGTTGTCGACTATAAACTGAATTACTTTCGATGGTCGCTGATTTGATTCCTCGTACGATGCAAACATTTGTATTTATCAGTATGAATGTTTGTATTGCTCTGAGTGTATTCTATGTAAGTTGAATGTGTATTTACAAAAAAAAATATTAAGTATTTAACAATAAAATAAGCAAAAATTGAGTTATAGAACAATTCTATAACTCAATTTCTGCTTAGTTTTTTTTATTTATGAGTATGATTGTTTGTATTGCTCTGGGTGTTTTCTTTGTGTTTTACCTCAATTGTATCAATACAAGTTCTTCTTAGTTTGGGACTACGAAAATGGGACTAGATGGCGCTGTATGAATAGCATATTATTATTAGTGTTCATAACTAAGATAGTTTATAGATGTTTGGACTTTTCTATGTATGCACATAATTTTTTTAATAAATATTTACCTACATGAAGATATATATAGCTTTACAGTAGCGCGTACCTCGCTACCGTAGCTCCCGTTCAGTGTACATTCGCCACACGGCAGACTGCCGCCCGCGCGCCATTAATCCATGTCAACAGAACGTCGAATTCGTAATTAGGAAGTTTATCATAAAGCAAAAAATTTACATCGAAAATGCCGCGACCTAAATCTTCTGTTTGGTTGGATCTCCACTGATAGCGGCGTCATTAATCAAACAATCAAACTCATAATTTTTCTGTGGTTACATTGTTTTTTCTGTTCTGCCAGTTTTAGGCTGTTTAGCCATTGTCTACCTTAATATCAGAGGGATAATGTAAAAAGTCGTGTGTGCAAGTCACCTATTTCAGCCGCCAAACAGCTTGCTCCGTAAGCTGTTTTGGTTATAGGGTTTTGAATAGAATAGAAAATCGTTTATTCAAATAAACTTAATTTAAGTACCTTTGAATAGTCATAGTTATCATTCTTTTAATCTACCGCTCATTCGGAAATCTCGTCACAAGAAGAACGAGCAAGAAACTTGCGTGTTGCTCTTTCAAATAATCATTGTAATTCATCTCAAATAAGTTTTTATGGTGTGAGTTCAAGGCCCTCTTATGGAAAGAAGTTTTATTTTGTAAAATACACAAAACTATGTCTCTACTTTAACCCTCCTATCTATCCCCCGTCTAATTCAAATGGGGATCGATATTATAACGGCCTGAGCCGAACGAAGCCCTAGCGGTGACCCCAGACTAAAGTCGTATCCGTCAAGCAGGAGTTGACCTACAGCTGCTCCATAAGACCATCCTCTGGTTTTTTTTAATGGATGATAATGGTATGGTTCACCCGCCTGCGCTAACGATTTACGCTGGCGGGGTACCAGTGGAGGATGATAAGATGAGTTTTTATTTTCGGACTACTATTAGAGTAGTCCGAAAATGCGCGGAAGGACTTATGGAGCGGCTGAAGGCCAACTCCTGCCTGACGGATACGACTTTAGTCTGAGGACACCACTAGGGGTTCGAACCTCGGCTCAGGCCGTCGTAATATCGATCCCCGTTTGAATTGGACGGGGGATCGACTGGAGGGGAAATAAGATGAGTAAAAGTAAATTCTTGGTAAATTCATCAGGTATATATCACGATGGTTTCCAGGAGGAACCGCGTGGAGGTCGACCTAACATGGTACATTGCTAGCTATGGGGTTATCAATCCACATTACTAACAATCCCCTTCCCCCTTTTTTCCTTTGGTTTTTTTTGAGGGTTGATAATGGAATGGTGCACCCGCTTGCGCTAACGGTTTACGCTGGCGGGGCACCAGTGGAGGATGACATGATGAACATGAATTCAGGTCAGTTAGCCCATCGTGATAAGTTCACCGGGAATTTATAACGATGGTTTCCATGGGGAACCGCGTGCAGGTCAACCTGACATGGTACATTGCTAGCAATGGGGTTATCAATCCACATTACTAACAATCCTCTTCCCCCCTCCTTTCTTTGGTTTTTTTTTTTGAGGGTTGATAATGGTGCACCCGCTTGCGCTAACGGTTTACGCTGGCGGGGCACCAGTGGAGGCTAATAAGATGAACATGAGGTCAGGTCAGTTAGCCCATCGTATGACAAATTCATCAGGAATTCATCACGGTGGTTTCCAGGGGGAGGCGCCTGGAGGTCAACCTAACATGGTACATTGTTAGCAATAAGAACATCAGTCCACATTACTAACAATTGCCTTTCCTCCCTCCTTCCTTAGGTTTGGAGTGCCATCTGCACTCGCCCCTATCGTCCGGTGAACCTGTATATGCCAACTGCGGTCAGCATTAGAATAGTTGGGAAAAAACTGCAATTAACCAGTTTGTGCCAGCCAAAACGTTCATGACACTCATAAAATATTACGCCATTTCATTTTATTATCTTGGTAACATTGTTTTCATTTGTTTTTATTATATACTAGCTGACCCGCACAATTCGTCGCATCACACTTACTTGACATTTGTTTCGCCGAATTTACATAATATCGTTTTATATTATAGCCTACGTGTTATTCTAATGTATAAGCTATATTACTGTAAAGTTTCATCAAAATCCTTTCAGTAGCTTTTGCATGAGAGAAACAAACATATGGATACATGCATACTGGCAAACTTTCGCGTTTATAACATTAGTAAGAAGTTACTGGAATTAAAGAAATTCAATATTAAAAATAACATTTCATGTATAATAAGTTACTTATATAAATAACAAACAAGTAAAATAAAGCACTAGCAGTGCCCGCGGAATCGGCAGCGAGAAATATGTTGTGTTATTCTGACATATAGGCTATATTATTGCAAAGTTTCATTAAAATCCGTTCACTAGTTTTTGCGTGAAAGAGTAGCAAACATCCATACATCTGACCATCCATCCACACTAACAAACTTCCGCGTTTTTAATATAATATTTTTGTATTTATTTATCCACTGACTGTACACTACTATAATACAAACCCAAAAATATCAAGTTGATTCACCTGTAAGCATTTTGACCTATTTGTTATCAGTGATATGTATAAGATTTTATATATCTATAATATATAATATATATAATAACAATAATAATAAAAGAAACACATTTTATAAATTTCAAACATTTACTTTCTAAAACTAAATAACTTATTCATTCTTACTATTGCTTCTGTAATATGAGTTTTGCAATATTATGTTCAGAAATTTCAGATACTAAAAATGTTAAAATTACAAAAAAACAGCCTTTTTTCATAGACCTAATTTTTGTTTAGTGTATTAGGTTATGGCTATGCCACAGTATCATATTGTATGTTTACATTTGTACACAGATTAGAAAGATTTATAGATGCAAAGCTGTTTACTAAATTTCTGTAGCATTAAAAAAAAAATAGACAATCAGAGTGTGAAGTGATACTATGTTCTTTATTCTAATTTCAAATATTGAAAATTAAAAATGCAACTTCTTTATCATTGAATATAAAGTCATATACACATTTAACTGTTTACAAATTATGCCTTGTACACATCAGTGTGTTTATAATTGATTTTCTTGTCTATTCCCAGTAATTGTCTGATGATGAATGCAGGAAGACGCTTGTGTCTCCACCGAGTTGGTAATGGTGTGTGGTTCACCTTCTTCAGCTTCTCAGCAACATATTGTTCAGCTGAAAAGTCATTGGCCTCTTTAACCATAGCCAGAAGGCTGTTCTGGAAAACTTTCTCTTTGTGTTGACGACGATGTTGCCTCACCTGAAAAGTAAAAAGAAGGTATGTATAATACTAGCAATACATCCAGAATTTACATGGGTGTATTTATTCTATAGAGAATATTTTAAATATATGTGTATGTATTGTATTACTTTTTTTATGAAACAGCCTATTATAACACACTTAACATATTTTACTGTAGATGTTAGAATTTATAAAATCCAAGTGATACTTGACTTTTTATACATTAGAACAAAAAAATTCAATTTTTGTTTTATTTTAGATAATTATAACACACTGTATGTGTATAATTTACTGTATTTTAATGTATTGTAGTGTGCATGTATTCTTAGATATAATATTTTTTAAACTCCAAGAATTGCCAGACCAACATGATCAAGCATGACTAATGCATAGAATTGATTACAATTATGAAAAATATTGCATATAAACTTTGTAATATATAAATAATTATACCTCTCAGTGAGACACAATTAGGTCAATGGAAAATTCTGCACCATAAAATCAAAAATGGCAATCAATATTAAAATATTAGGGAGCTCCATAACGGTAATCGAAACTATCAGATATGCAATATAAAAAAATATTCATAACCATAACCGAATCCGAAATAAAAGTTTCGGATAATATCGGATAGGTGCGGGGTCTAATTGAGACATGTTATGTAACCATTTTATTAGCTATTTGAATTTTATTTTTGAAATTCCTTAAAAAAATATTATCCATAACTGAAATTATCCGAAACCAACAGATAATCTGAAATAATTTCATATCCGTATCTATATCTGGTATAATAATCATTCCAATATCCGAAACCTATCCGTATCCGATATTTTATATCCATAACGTCCCTAATTAAAATTACAAAAATAAACCAAGGAAACAACTATAAATTAAAACAAAAATTTTAAATGTTTTATGAACAGATAAAAACAATAATTACCCGTGCCCAGCGGTGTCTCATCCTCTTCCACAGCTTTCTACGCTGATGTTTCTTCATCTTTTTCCTTCTAATTACAATTAACCTAATTGCTTGAATTTCCTCCTTCTGTATCGCTGGTAAACCAATCTCATCTTTCCTCCAATTTGATTCAATCAAAGGCAAAATAGAACGAGGGTTAATAATAGGAACGTATGGAATAGGATCCTGTCTAATTTTGTTCACAATATTATTGTTATCAGCTATTTCCACTGTTAAACCTCTCGGTGCGAAGGATAAGGTTTTCGCTTTGGATATTAAACATTTTTCCATAGGATATCTTGCCGGTTGACATTCTTTAATAGTATTTAGTGATGTTTTGAGATTTATTAACCGTAAATCTGAAATGAAACGATTGAATAATTAGAAAAGACGAATCTATGAAACAAAAATTTTAATATAACCTCAAATTTACGCTTACATTTTACGGTGTTTTGAAGCTTATTCATCATCTTTTTCTTTTATGACTACTTCAATAAATTAAAACATGATTGTAATCAATTAAAAAATAGTTATTAATGAACAAATATGTTATTAATACATTTAAGTTTGAATTTTACTATTATTGAGAGAAGAGGAAATTATGTCACAATCATAATGTCAGGTTTTACATTTTTTTTTATTAATTTGTTTTACGGCATTGGATTCAAAGGTTGCATTCAAAGCGTTCAAAATTTTAGAACGCAAATTGTTAGATATATATTTTATGTTGTTAAGGGTATAGTTGGCTACAAAAGAAACATATTTGTAAAAAAGAATGATTTTTGGGAAAAAGGGACAATAAATCGCCGACATTGTACTTAAAAAGTACATGAATGGCCAATAAGCTTACTTCCAGGTCAATAAAATTAAAAGCATGTAGAAAAATACAAACCTTTCCCATTATTTATTTATATATTTTGAAATAGTTTTTCTTGTTTGGCTATATTATTGTTATTGTTTTTATTGGAATGGAAGTCATTTGTTGTACTTTGTAAAACATCTCCGATGAAAAATCCACGATTTTAATACACCGGAATTATAGTTCTTTACTGAATACAATGGCAATGGTCAGTTCCGATAGAGTTAGAGTATGTAGACTGTGTCTTGTAGTAGACGTACGGATGACGGGAATTGATTCAACTATGGAAAATAGTATGAAAGCCTTGTTAGGAAAAGACGTGAGTACATATAATAGTTCATAATACGTTCCTGTTAGCTTTACCACGCGTCTGGATAAAGCTAGACATAGCCAGACAACAAAATAAACGGTGTCCAGCTTGTCCGGCTTTTGTTGGACTTATTACATTATTTTTATTGTTTAACTTAGAGAGAAGTTGTTTTTTATTTTGGTTTGCTTTTTGAATTACAACACGTAAATAAGACTTTTTGTGCAATTGCCTTTTTTAAGAATTTGACAATATATACCTATAAATAATAAAAAAAGCTTTTTTTTTATATATAATTTTTTTTTATACCAGACTTACTGAGGCATAAAATCCTGAATAATGTTGGGTATCCAGGCTTTTTATGCAAATGTCCAACCAAACTGATCAAATGTCCGAGCAAATGATCTATTCAGATTCTAAAGTACCTATTTAAATTTTTCTCCTCCAACATGAAACACTTGTTATGTGTTCCATTTGTCACAGAAGTACTAACCAAATATCATGTTAGTAATGGGAACTATATATAACTATAATGTGGTAATCGAATGGTCCACCTGCTTTCTTATAATCGCCTCCAACCAGGTTAATTACTAGTGATTTCACTGCCAGATCTCACCCTTCAACTGAAAAAGCAAGGTGCTATACACCTCAAATAATAGAGGTACCTATGAAGTTGTCTCCTTTTAATAAAGTATATCTTAAATAAATAAGGAATACAAAAAGTATTTCACACTGGAAGCCCCACACTGATCTGGTTATAATATGACATAGCAATGAGCTAAATATAAAGGTATAACATATAAAACACTATGTAAAATACTAGTTTTTAACAACCTGGCATAAGTAGGAATATCTGAGGCTAGATTCTCAATGGAGAACCTTTCATGAGATTTAGTCTTTTAGACTTTATACTGGAAGACTGATTGCATGACGTAAAAAAAAAAAGTTTTAAACTAACAATATAGAATATCCTAACTATATATTTACCATTACCTTTTTCATTAGAAGGGAAAAAAAAATATATAATGTAAAAACTTGACATTCATAAGCGGCTAAAATATCCTACATGAATAAATGATTTTTTAATTTGAATTTGAATTTGAATGTTTTCAGATTACCTCCACAGATAGCCTGCCACGACATTTGTGTTTTGAATGTGCTGCGTATGTTAGAAAATTCCAGAAGTTCAGAGATAAATGTTTGATAGCTCAGTCCATTCTCTGTACATTATTGAAAAGTAACAAAAATGTAAGTATTAATAAAAGTCCCATCAAAATCGGTCCAGTGTTTCGTGTGTCACGAGAATTTTATATATAAGATTAAGTATATTTATTTATAAATATATCCCATACATAGAAAACACCCAGAATGATACAAACAATCATACAAATTAATACAAATTGCACTGTTCGAGACATTAGTTGAGTCATTATTTAGTTTGTTTCAGGATCTTTTTTATCCCTAATAGAAACATAAATATAAATAATATTTATTCAAATAAACTTAATGTAAGCAGTTTTGAATACTCACTTTTTATTTTATTCTACCACTCATTCGGAATGCAGACTCATCACATGAAGAATGAACAATAAACTTGTGTGTTGCTCTTTTAAATAAATGTTGTTTTAAGTAGATTTACATTAACAAGGATTAGGCATGTGACAATCAACATAGAAATCGCTCTGTATTCTTTGTTCAATCAGATAACATTGTCAGCACTATGTTACAATTATATAATTTTAAGTTAAATTATACAATAGAATAAATACAAAGAAATTTTCAAATAAGACATTCAGAATCATTTTTTTTTTGAGATATTGTGAATTGGCCTTGATTTAAATGAATTTGACTTGTTTAGTGGAGAATATATATTATTACATATGAATGTGGATGGTTATAAGGGCAGAGGAAGGCCGAAAAAGAGATGGATGGACTGTGTGAATGATGATATGTTCAGAAATGGAGTAAATGACGAGATGACTGTGGACAAAGATAAATGGAAGAGAAAAACATATTACGTCGAACCCAAATAAATGGGATAAGGAAGGAGATGATGATAGTGGAGAATATATTAAAAAAAAATTACAGTAATGTCCTTATATAAAGTTATAAAAGGAATAATAAATTTATTATTTCTCTTAAAGTTTACCTTAACTAATTTAAGGTTAATTACAGTATACATAAACAATTCTTTCAGATAACAGACCAAGAAATAAGAGCCATTGACAGAAAAATGTTGAAGTTGGAATCTCAGTTGTCACACATGAACATACCAGTAGAGGAGTCACACACGGAAATGCTGACAATAAAAATTGAACCATACAGTCCAGACATGTCCGTAAAAGAGAATGATAGAATGATGGCCGAAGAAGACACCGCTGGTGATCATAGTGAAGCACTTTTGAGGAGTCAGGATGTTGATGATTTCTCACTGAAATCAGTTAATGTATGTAGAAAACATTTGCAAAACAATTAAAGATATACAATAATAATAATAATCTCTGGACAATTCACACAGCGCCATCTAGACCCAAGTTAAGCTAGCTAAAGCTTATGTTATGGGTACTAGACAACTGATACAAATACATAGATTTCTTTTTTTTTCATACATATTATACATAAATTAAATTACTATAAAATTTGTGTGACTTCTGTTGCTGCAAGTTAGATGACAAATAATTTATGTCAGGGTTGTACGATGTTACTTTTAGCAAAATGCATGCTGAACTGGATTCATCTGTCAAAGGGTTACTAACCGAGTTTTTAATGTTATTCATCTCTTAAAATAATGACTCACAGGCATAGGTAGGTGAAAATATTGTTAAAATAGCATGAGCCAGTTTCTTCAAACAGTTTTATGATCGACGACGTGCCCAAAATATTGTGTCGCATGCAGTCAATGGCACGCGTGCCATTGGTCCATCTACCCTGCACTATAGGATAAGTTATTTTTGTTATCTTATCATTTTATTTATAACAAAAACAATTTTAATTTTTTAGAATAAAAAACGTAAACGTCCTCCAAGAAAGAGAAAAAGTAATAAAGTTGAAAATTTGGGTGAAAAGAATATAATTACAGACAATGTTTTACCTATAGAGCAGTGTGATCATAGCGCTATGTTGGAAGGCTACCCCGTTGCAAATATAACAGTAAGTACTATTATGTAGTATTGATTTATTTTTGCATTTGATGTATTTTGTGCTATGGATGTTATTTACAAATGAAAATTATAAACATGAAAAGGATTCATATATATATAGATAAGGATATATAAATACGATATTAAAAATATACTATCTATCGCGATCTACTGTATAAAGAGTCGTGACTCATTAAAAGAGAAATTCAAAACTACTGCTTCTCAATTTATATATTCAAATATCCTATATGTTCATTTACTTATGAAATTCAGATTTACAAACTGTCCCCAAGTATCGTTTAGAAAAAGATAGGTCTTTTATCTAGGAATTACCCTTAAATAAATTCAAAACATCTGTTAAAGAAAGGACATATGACATCTTTAATTTGAAACTAAACGATTACTTGAATGAGTGTGATGAATAGTTGTTCATGCACTGAATTTTAATTTAATGTTAGACATAGACACCTATATAAAAATACATTGTAAATAAACTGGCTTTAAAAAAAAAAAAAATTCAATTGAGTTTCTTGCCAGTTCTTCTCAATTGGATCTATATACTAAACTGGACGGTAGGGAAAAAATAAAATTATAATGTAAAAATTTGCGTTCATAAGCGGCTAAAATGTTCTACATGAATAAATGATTTTTGAATTTGATTTGAATACGAAAAAATCTGTCGCGCTTTTTTTTTTATATAATTTATATCTATTATAAATATGACATTCATAGTTTTGAAAAAATATCCTCCTTAAGGGAGTAAATTGAACAGAGGATGGAAGTTTGTACGAAAATTCGTTATTTTTGAAGCTAGACTGATGAAACGTGACAAAATCGTGACAATTTCATCAGGAATATAATAGACAAGAAATAGTTCAGTTAGTTGAGTGTAGACAACAAATAAATAATTCATTCATCCTTATCCATACTAATATTACAAATGCGAAAGTAACTCTGTCTGTCTGTCAAGAGAAAGGACATAGATTACATTTTAATGTTAAAAAGGGTAGTAAAGGGGTTGAAAGAGTAGGTGCAAGGTTGTATGGTTGTGTCGTGATTTTTAAAGATAGAAGCTTGAAATTTATTTTTTAGCCTATTGATTAAATATAAATAAAGAAAAAGCGTTATAAGGTGGAAAAGAGAGCTGAAAGATATAAATATAAATAATCTCAGGACAATTCACACAGCGCCATCTAGACCCAAATTAAGCTACTTAAAGCTTGTGTTATGGGTACTAGACAACTGGTACAAATACATAGATATGTTTTTTGTTTTCGTAAATACATACATATTATACATAGAAAATACCCAGACCGATACAAACTATCATACTCATGAATACAAATGTTTGCGCCGAGGAATCGAACCCGCGACCATCGGAAGTAAGGCGATATGCTAGACCGCTAGACCACCGAGGCCGTAGATTGTAAGGAAGTGTCGTCATTATAAAAGCTAGATGCTTGAAACTTATTTTTTAGGCTGTTGATTGAATTGTATGGAATTTTGTATCGTCGTTTTTGAAAACAAAACGATGAAACTTTTTTATTTGGCTTTTATTTAGTTAGGTCATTAAATATTTTTCCATTATTTACACGGACGAAGTCGCGGGTACAGCTAGTATGTTATAAAATTAATTAATACAAAATGCATTTATCACTTATTTTTCAGATGCAACCATTAAATGAGAACACAAAAGGCGTAACAAATAAACAACAAACTGCCCTGTCAAGAGCTCAAGAAAAAGCGAAAGCCCGAAAGCGTAAGTTTCTAGACAAAATGACGCCCGAACAGAAAGCTTTGAAGAAAAAGAAGGATCTACAATACTATCATAAAAAAAAGGCAGAAAAAAAGAAGCATATCTCAGAATTACCGGAAAACCAACGTGTAAAACTCAGAGAGCTGTGGAGAATTAACTCCAAGAAATACAGGGAAAGGAAGAAGAAAGTAGAAGTGGAAGTGATTATCCCTGACATTAAGACAGAGTTCCCACCTCCAGTAATTACGGACATAGAAACTCCAGAAATGAATCAGGAAATACATATTACGGCAATTAAAACAGAGACCGAATATCCAGTACTAGTAAGGCCAATTGAGATTCCACAAATTAAAAAGGAGTTCATAGTAATTCCAGAAATAAAGAAAGAGGTTGAGTTTTCTGATTAATTCCAATGAAAGGCCTACAATGTTACTAGCCTTGTAATTTTATTTTAAAGTCTGACCTAAATTTAAGATGGTGCACAATTCAGAAACTAAAGCGCAGATAAGACATCCCAAATGCATTTTATCCTGATTCCAGAAACAGAAAATATTTTTATTATAATTCCAGAACGAGATTGATTAATTCAATGAATTTGAAGAATTTTTGATTTGTGCTTATATTCAGGTCTTACTTAAGACCTACGAAGCCAGCAGTCTGAGAAATAAAAATGAAGACAAAACTCATTTACACACTATCTATCTATAGAATCAAGTCAAATGTCCTCAGAATAAGAGTCGACGAGTTGCAATTAGATTAGATATTATATTGAGACTAAGTTTATAGTGAGTGAAAATTAACTAGGAAGTTAGTTGGAGAATTGAACAAAATATGTATTCTCTATGGTTCAGACAAATTTTACTAAAGGCAACTATAGGATGAACCAAAAATTGTAGACAATATAAAGTTCCAGAAATCTAGAGTAATTGTGATTCATAACATAAAGACGTTGAGTCTTTAAACAATTTATAATAATTTATCAAACCTAATAATTAACAAATAAGAAGATAGAGATCCGATAAATTAAGATATAAATATTATGAGTTAAGTTAAGTTCTATAAAAGCATGGATTAGTACCAATAATACTAATTCTTTTAAACATTTTGTCAAACTATTATGTGTTATTATACAATATACTTTATAGATATATTATACAACACATATATTACACTAAAGGATGGATGGTGTGAAAGATGATATGTATAAAAGAGGAGTATGCTCAGATATGACGGCCGATAGGGAACAGTGGATACTGCACCGACAACAAATGGTATAAAGTGAAGGCAATGATGATGATTTATATTATTATACTTATATATATATTGGTTTTAATAAACACAATGGTAATGTTAAAATATGGAATTGAAATTGTATTAAATAATATTAAAATTATATATCCAAAGTTATATTACTTTAGAATAGAAATGTAGCGAATAGATTCTCTGAAAAATATATATTTCAATTATAGATATAACAAATATTTTATTTAAATAATGAGACTGATTAAGTATTTATTTATTGTATCAACAATATTTGAATACTGCAGATTTATATTTTCTTTCAGAATTTTCACTCAGATATTATACATATAAACTTCCTCTTGAATCACTATCTATTGCTAAAAAGTGAGTTAAAATCCGTTGCGCAATGTAAAAGATCTAAGCGAACAAACAGCGGCGTGAGCTCGTTTTATACTATGTAAAGATATATATGATTTACATTATCATAGTCCTTGTTAGAATTGCGCTAGTATTTTAGTCAAGTAGCGTGTAGTGACCAGAGTCTGATGTGGTTTATATTATTTACTTTGATTAATACTATTTGGCAGTTTGTATTCACACAAAATGTTAAATAATGCTCAACAACATTTATTTAAAAGAGCAACACAGATTCTCGCTCGTTCTTGTCGTAAGTCTGATTTACGAATGAACTGTTAAATAAAAAAATATATGACTATTCAAAAGTGCTTATATTAAGTTTATTTGAATAATATATCTGTTTCGATATTTCTAAGCAAATGTAGTAGTAGAATAGTACTACTTCTAAATTAGTTGCTACTAGACTAAAATACTGTAGTCCGATGTACGGTTTAGTAGATAGGACAGTGCATTAGAGAATACATCAGGAAAATAGTAATTTCTATGTTTCTACTAATAATACAATAGTCCTATGCACTAAGACAGTAAACCAGTCTTATATTGGAGTTTAAAAATGTATAATTTCGTAATTAGCTACCTTTACACGACACTTTCTTTCACATGCGATTTAACGCGGGAAAAACAGCGCGCGCAATCATGAGGATTTCTAGGATTGCATTTAACTTTTTTTTTTTGTTCACTCTGTCTCGCATTTGTGCATAAGAATCATATTAAATCACTTTCTTTTTGTTCTCTTTTGAATCTTACTATTTGTGTTGTTCTATTAATCATTTTCAAGTTTTTTTAAGTGGGGAAATCGAAAGGTATTAAATAAAATTTAATTTTTTATACCATTGATATTATTTTCCACAGATAAGTTTAATGTTTCTAAACTAACAATGACTCTATAATTGTCTTTGCTCCGTAGTCACATGTCCGCCATTTTACAATGATAATAAATGAAAAAGGCGCTAAATCACGCACGATAGTAGAATGGGCTCACTGCGCGCGCAGTCTTTCTCGTTCTCTTAGCACATTGTTTCCTTCGTGAACGCGTATTGGCGCGTGAAAGTGCGTATGTGTAAAATGATAGATTAGATAAAACATTTGTACATGTATAAATGATTTCTTATCTAGTATAATAAGGTCCATTCAATAAACAATATGGGTATCAACAAAGAATTTTTATTTTAAATAACTTGACATTGTTAAAATTACTGACATATTAACTCTCTATCGTGTGGAACAGCTCCAATATCACCAACAACTGCCACAGACATGCATCCACCTGAAAGTTTACAATCAGCCCGAGTGGGCAGGGAAGTGAGCAGCGCGAGAGTGTAAACACTTCATGCCATTGGCGCTGTCACTCGCGCTGCCCGGCGCCCCCTCGATTGTTGGTTTTTCGTGCGGGAGTCAAAGGACTGGCAGCGAGAATGGCTGCATGTTTTTACATTCAGCCTTCTCGCTCAGTTGTCACCCGGCAATATTTCCGGCAGCGTGAGTGGCAGGGGAAGCGGCTGAATATAAACGTAGCATTGAGGTGTATGGACAACCGCACATGCCTGCTAACTGTGCAATACGCAATTGCCGACACATGCAATTTCACCTCATTATATTTCCCTTAGTAATAAAAGTCAGTGTTCGAGTAGCATTTAACCAAGGCGGTTTAATAAGCAAAATCAATCAATATACCAACTAATATCAGTTCCGTGAACTGTGGGCGCAAACCCCCCACATTCTTTGGTCCTTCGAGCCGGATTTGAACCAGCGACCAAGAGCTATTTAGAAATTTATATTTAACTATGTAATATTATCTTATCTGTGGTTATACCTCCAGTCCACTTTATACAATGGTCTACCGACAAAGTAGTATAAATAGCTCTGGGCGGCAAATTTGAATTTGCCAGTTGAATACACAACACCCCGACAGACGGACGTCGAGTAAATTGTATGTGTTATATTGTGTATGATGCATTTGAAAATAAAGATACAACTATTAAAAAACCCACAATAATTATCAGCCATACAAATAAGACAGATTCTACGTTAATAATATCTTGCAAAAATGTTGGCTGGATGGGGATGAGTGTTAGAGGGTGGGCGGAATATTTTTATTTTTTTCCCTGCCAAAAAAATTAAGATCCGGTATACGATATATGACAACTTACGTTTAGAAGACAGTTCTTTGGCCGTGCACGAAATCTCATCAGGACTCAGAAGTTCAATCATGCACAGCGCACTTTTAGCGCTGTCCATCTGTATGTTATTGGCGAGCTGTAACGCCATACCCTCAGTCACGTTGATGCAGTTGTCGTCGTTAATCGCCATGCTTAACTCTAAACACAAACGGGAAGGAATTGTTAGTAATATGGATTAATAAACTCATTGCTTCATGTCACTCAATGCATCACGTCCGATTGTCCTTCACGCGGTTCCCCTAAAAACCATCATGATAAATTCCTGGTGAATTTGCTACAATAGCCTAATTAATTAAACCTCATATTCCTTCAATGACGCCCATCCAGCATTTTGTTAGCGCGAATGCGACTTAAATGAAGTTGGGCGAGAAATTTAATATTTTTATTATCTAATAGTTTTAAAAAACAATGAGTGATGTACTAACTCAGTCTTCGCTTCCCGACTTGAATCTGATTGACGTCTAAATCACCGACATTTGCTAGAAATTCAGCAGCTGAAAGCGCCACTTTGAATGCAGTGGAGGCACGAGTTTTAGCTACTATTCCTGAAAGCAGAATACAAATATTAATTCAGATTTACTTAAATTTAAACACTTACTTGTAAAGTCATACTTATTTTTTTAATCTACTGCTGATTCGGAAAGCTCAAATCACAAGAATGGCGTGTTGCGCGTTTTTTTTTTTATAAAAAAAAATTTAAGCTGATTATGAACATATTTTTTTAAAACTAAAAACACGAGAGTTGCTTTGTGAATAGTGATAATTTTATTGGGTTACCATATGTAAATATACATAAATACTAGTTGAATCTGGAGGCGCTGGTCACGTAGAACATATACATAAATAAGGAATGTAGTTCGATTAAAAGGGACAAAAGAATTGGCACAAAATCTTAAAAATATAATGCTAAAAAAAAATATTTATAAAAGTGCAACACGCAAGTTTCTCGTTTCTAAGTATACATGTACAGGTATATAACTTACATGTATATTTATTTTGTTTGTTTTTTCTATTGTAAAAGTACTAAATAAACATTCTTTCTTCTTATTTGTGTATCGAATCTTACCAAATAATCCAGTCTCCTTATAAGAAATATTGAATGCCTTATACTCAGTGTGGACATCTTCCCCGGCCATCGTGCCGAGCGGAGGCTGCGGGGTCCTGTCGAGAGAGTGCTGGCCGACTTGCATGTTGCCAGTACCACAGGCAGCAGCCACTATTGCATGTTTCAACAGGCTACTAAAATATGGGAATAAACCAGAACAAACAATCGTATTTCGGAAGGCGGTGTGCTAAACTACAAGACCTACTGGAGCAGGGTAGGCGAAACAATGGCATGCGTGCCATTGACCGCACGCGACACAATATTTTGGGCACGTCGTCTATCATACAACTGTTTGAAGAAGCTGGCTCATGCTATTTTAACAATATTTTCACCTACCTTTGCGTGCGAGTCATTATTTTCAGAGATGAATAACATTAATAACTCGGTTAGTAACCGTTTGACAGATGAATCCAGTTCAGCATGCATTTTGCTAAAAGTAACATCGTACAAACCTGATATAAATTATTTGTCATCTAACCTGCAGCAACAGAAGTCACACTAATTTTATAGTAATTTAATTTATGTGTGTAATGAAAACAATCCAAAATGAACCTCTTTTGTTTACTTTATTTCATAGAGAGTTTTGATAGTATTTATTATTATTATATTCCAAATAATCAGTCAAAATTATTTGATGGCACGTCTATGACCCCATTAAACATTTTTTGGAAAAAATGGCACGTTGATGCATAAAGGTTCGTCTATCCTGACCTAGGGCGTCAAACGATCATATTATAATTTCTTTTCGGACTACTCTAATACTGTTGGCCGCAGCTGGCCTTTACAGCTTCATCGGATGATAGGGGTCGAGTGCAGATGGCACTCCAAACAAAAGGAAGGATTTATGGAGCGGCTGAAGGCCAACTCCCGTCTGACGGATACGACTTTAGTCTGAGGGCACCGCTAGGGTTTCGAGCTTCGGCTCAGGCCGTCGTAATTTCGATCCTCGTTTAAATTGGACGGAGAATCGATCGGAGAGCTAAAGTAGATGCAGAAAGTCTTTCTTATGTATCCCACATATGAACCCGTTACCATCGGAAGAAGTGCGATAAGTCTCGACCACTTATGCTGTAGAGAATATAGGTACCTACTTTATATCGCAAGTACCGCAGCCAGGCACTGCAACAGCTATCCAGGTGTCGCTACCAGGTCCCAGATCGTACAGCTCGAACCCGCTGCGATGGCATGCCATATATTCCCATCGCGGTGGAGGTTTCTCCTGAAACAACAAGATCGGCCGTAAGCCACAGCAGCAGGTCAATGTAACCAATTTCCACCGAGTTGAGAACTTCTGTAATGGTTAAGATATTATGAATATTAAATAATCTAATCATATATAGTCATACATAGTATAAAATAAAGTCGCTGCAGCTGTCTGTCCCTATGTATGCTAAAATCTTAAAAACTGCGCAACGGATTTTGAAGCGGTTTTTTTAATAGATAACAACCGTGCAAAGTCGGGGCGAATAGCTAGTTAAAAATAAATCTGTATTAAGTATTGTAGATATGGACAACCATACTTGAAAACAATACGAGCTGAGTTTCTTGTAAGTTTTTCTCATCTCATAAACAGGAACCTCACAAACTTTTCTAATCTTTTTTTGATAAAATTAGTCCTTATACTCAATCAATTTAAAGATCTATTCAATTCTTAATTAGAAAAATTATTTTAACAGATTATCTGCTCGCTGGGTTGAGGAACAGGCACTTCACAAACTTTTAAGTTTAGTTGATAATAATAGACCTTATGCTCTATAACTTTAAGTTCTATTTTTATAAAAATATTTTTTGCTCCTACACCTCAATAGAATAGAATAGTGGGTATTCTACAATATTTTGCCTTTCTCCTCTGATATCCTACAAACTAGGAGCAATCAATTATAGTCTTCTTATCTCGTTTCCTCACATATATAGCAAATTTTATTAAACTTTGATGGTTTAAAATAGTAAACAAAAGAACTTACTCTTTTATATTCAATTTTCTCAGCCAATTTTAACGTCTCTTCAAATGGGACTCCAATACTGGCAATGCTACAGGCGTCGCTTCTAAAATGGGTTTTGGCGAAGCAGTTCACCATGTTCTCCGTCATGCCATCAATTCTCTCTTCTTCACAGAACACTGAGTTGGATAAAGGTCCGATGAAGGCAGCTCGTTGGACCAAATCTATTACGCGCTGTTCTGGATGAACACGCGTCAAATCTTCTCGTATCAGTTGCTTGCGGTCATCTAATTCCCATTGGTTGTAACAACACCTTTGAAAAATAAACAGTAACATAGTATTAATGAGGAACATATGGTTTTAGTAACAGTCCACTACTATATTTTTTTTTTAGCCAAAATGATTTGGAAACGCCACATATCCTATGTGGTTGTAGTACATCCATGATATCATCGCTTTATATCTCTCATTATAACCATTTATAACCAGGCGTTGAATTTATCAAAATCCTAGAGAGCGAACGTCTTCATCATAATAGCTCCAATCTTTAATTTCAGTTCAATTCGTCGTTCAATTCAATCAGTCGAAAATCTAAAAAGATTTAATAAAACTTTCTACCCCTATTTTATCCCCTTAGCGGTGGAATTTATCAAAATCCTTTCTTAGGGGATGCCTATGTCATAGTAGCTTTATGCATGCAAAGTCTCAGCCTGATCGTTTTAAAATTGACAAAGTTTCATACAAACTTTCATCCCCTATTTTATCCCCTTGGGGGTAGAATTAATCAAAATCCTTTCTTATGCCTACGTCATAACATCTACCTGCATGCCAAATTTTAGCCCCCTCCATCCAGTGGTTTAGGATTGATAGATCATTATGTCAGTCACCTTTGAGTTATATATATTTAGATAATAATAAGCAATTGTATTAGAGACAAAGAAAGTACTATTATTATTATTATTGTTCGTATGGCTGTATCCAGCAAGTAATGCTTCAGTTCCGGATAGCTGGTGACCGGACAACGCAGAGTGAAGGAGATTTTCTGTCTATCAGTGGAACATGTGATAGTCGCGCCATTCTGCTGCAGATACCGCATCTTGGAGAAAGAAGAGTATCCGCACCCTGATGTGGAAGCTCCCACGCGAATGAAGTGGACCGCACCGATGTGGTCATCCCACTCGTAACGAGTTCCCGCCTGAAAAAATAACTTCTTCAAACTTTTGACTTTAAATATAATTTTGACCTATATTTTTATTGAGGGTTTTGGGCTATTGGAAGCGCTCGTACTCGCCTTTTTTCAAAGTTCGACACCTAGGCCCGTCTCGGTCAAGAATTGAAGGATATTCTTAGGAGCGATGGTTTTTATCTCCTTAGGGTATAGTGTATACTTTCCAAAGGAGATATTTCGCTTATGCATAAGTGGGCTACAACCATATAGGATGTGTAGTGGCGTTTCCTCTTCTATTTGGCAGAACCTGCAGATAGTTGTTAAGCTGAGACCTAATTTTGCCATGAGTTTATTCAATTTACAGTGTCCAGTGAGATCTCTAGTCATGATGCATATAGTTTTTACGAAATAGCAATGGTCTATTGGAGTATTGATTCGAGTAGCACGTTATTAAGGGTTTTGAACTAATCTTGGCATATTCTGCCGGTGATTCGGTGCTTCCTGACCTTATTTTGACCTACAGGTATTTGTTATACATGTTGTGTATATTTATATATGTATATATTTTTATAAGGCGCCCCTTAAACAAGTCCCGGGAACTGCTCGGAGTTTCCCTCTCTGACACACGATGGCTGGCACCCGCACGGTGAATCTATGGTATACGTTATAAGTTCATCTCAGGTTCTCTTTAGAAATGTTATTCAATTCTATCTGATTTATACAATACATCATAACAGCACCTGGTACATAATAGTGCAAGCACCGATCTGGGAGCCTAGAGGTTTCACTGCGGCGACCCTGATGCCGTTCAATAGCTCAGACCTTTGGACCTCCATCGGCCCGTAGTCTGGTCTCGGCCAGCACACGTTCCTCTCATATCGACCCAATGATATATTCCTGGATAGGGTTTTTAAGCAGAACAATGAAGGAAGTTTAAACATTATATTCTTGACACTTCTATACTGAAAGTGACAAGTCGACAATGTCGTGGCGATTTTTTTTAAACTGGTTTATCTGTCTGACGTCCGTATAAACGTCTATACATATAAATAAAATTGGAGTGTCTGTTTGTAATATTGAAATAACAGTTTTTTACAACATGCATATGAATACAAATACGGTACATAGACCAAAATAACTGTTGGTGACACTGGCACATTATTCGATCGCCGCTTTAAGATGAAAAATATATCGTCAAAAAAAACTATATTGTCAAAAAAAAACTATATTGTACATTCGTAATATTATATTACAAAATAAACTATTTATTGTCGTTTTTCCATCGAAAACATCAAATGGTAGCAGAGCGTATGGTAAGAAAATTCGACAAAGTTATGAAAAAATAGAAACATATAATATAAAAAATGGCAACGTATAGAATCGAACCATTACATAAAAACAATTATGATACATGGTTTTTGCTTATAAAAGCCGAAAAATGTTTAAATAGAAACAGATGCATGTCCCCAAACTATCGCAGCATTTCAAAAATATTATCAAAATCGGAAATATTATTACTAATATCTCCATCAGAATTGAAACAAATAAAAACATGTAAGACATCAAAAGAGATTTGGGATAAACTGAAATCATCTTATCAAAGTTCAGGTCCCGCTAGAAAAGCAACCCTCCTAAAAAATTAGTTTTACAAAAAATGGACTCTGTTCGCGATCATTTGAATAATTCCTAGACATAGTTATATAAAGTCAAAATACATCCAGAACTATTGAGTATTATGATGTTATACAGCCTTCCTAGTGCATATGAAAACTTTAGAATTGCTAGATTCTAGGGATACATTCGGAAGACTTAAAAGTGATGAATCTAGAAAACAAGTTAACAAACCAGAGAGATGATGGAGCATTTTACAGTAGAAATAATAAAAATCTAAAACAAATAAAATGTGAAAACTGTAACAAAAAAAGGGCCATTCACTGAAAGCTGTGGAGTAAGAAAAAGTACAATAAATATAATAAAAGTAGTAATTATAATAAAGACAAAAAATCAGAAAAAACATTAAATGATGTTTTACTTTGTAAAGAAAACATTGATACAGATTCTTGGGTATTTGGATGCACATTCACACATTACCTATCAAAAAGAAAAATTTACAAACCTATCATCAGAAACTGGATTGCTAAAGTTGGCATCTAACTTTCACACCGCTAACGTAAAAGGTAAAGGAAAAGTAACAATTAAGGTAGATGGTGATAAATGCAATCTCGCTGACACATTATATGTACCTGATATATCTGAAAACTTAATATCCGTTAGTAAGATCACTGATAAAGGTAATTCTGTATTATTTACAAAGAAAAAGGCATTAATAAAAAACAATGAAGGTGATATACTACTTACTGCTGAAAAATATAATGGATTATATTATGTAAAATGTGACAAAAATAACACAGCTTATGCAATAAAAAATGAAAAGAATGCTATGTGGCACCAGAAACTAGGTCACTTAAATGAAAATGATATGAAAGTTTTACACAAAGAAAATTTGATAAGAGGTATACAATTGACAAATGGGAAACTAGACCCGTGTGAAACATGCATAAAAGGAAATGACCAGGCTACCATTCCAAAGTCATGAAGCTATAAAAACAAATGAACCTAACAAATAATACACTCGGATGTTTGTGGGCCTAAAAATGAATCATTGGCTGGTTCCAGATACTTTGTGACATTTATTGATGATTATACTAGATACATATATTTTTAAAACAAAAAAATGAGTATTAGAAATATTTAAAGAATATAAAAATAAAGTAGAAAACTTTTGGAATAAAAAGATCAAATCATTACAATCCGATAACGGAACAGAATATTTTTTGAACAATTCTTAAAAGATAATGGCATCGTGAGACGACTCTAGGCCCGACACCATATACGCCACAACAAAATCTCGAAAGAAAAAATAGATCTCTACTCGATAAAGCCCGTTGCATGATTATAGGATCAAAAGTTCCTAATTCGTTATGGGCAGAAGCTATTTTCACAGCGAACTATCTTATAAATAGTCCTTCTAAAGCCTTACAACAAGAAACACCGTTTATGAAATGGATGGGTATACCGTCAGCAAATCATTTACGCATTTTTGGTACAAAAGCTTTTGTTCTGATAAAGAAACGTGGAAAGTTCTCACCGAAAGCAATTATATTTGTTGGATGTAAAAGTTCAAGAGGCTACAGAATTTACATACCAAATAAAAATGAAGTAAATATTATGTACTATTGAAACAAGTGATGACTTTGATATCTTCAATAACGAAGAAAAACTCCTACCTGAAAATAAAAATGAAAATAAAAATATAATTATTGAAATGGAAAATATAAATAATAATAATAAAAACTTACCTGTTTTACCGTCTACCAGCTCCACACCAATATTAGAGATTTAATGAACATACACAATCAAATATAGAGATCTCAACAAGTGATGAAGAAATGAAACAGATGACAATGACTTCACAAGTTAATCAAGATAATATGCATACATTTAGGCGAAACTACCATCGCGATATAATGATTACGTTCTGAATATGTACAAGAACTCAATGAAAATATATATGAAATGACATACCTATGTGAAGAAGAAAAAAATGAGGATTGGCGTGACGCCATAAAAGCTGAAATCAGAGCTCATGTAAAAAATGGTACGTTAATGAAAAAAGCAAAAGACGCAAAAGTCATTGTAAAATGATATTAAAAAAGAAAATGTGTCCTAATGATACAGAAATAAAAAAGGCAAGACTTGTAGCATTTTCCAAAGACCGGATTGACTATAATGAAACATTTGCTCCAGTTGCCAAATTAAGCTCAATTAGATCAGTACTAAGTTTATCTGTACAAGAAGGATTACAACTTAATCAAATGGATTCACTACTGCTTATTTAAATGGCGAATTAGATGAAAACATAAGTATGAAAATTTGTGTATATTTAATTTATATATAGATATATATACAATAAAGCTAAGAAAATGCTTGAAGATTTAAAATCTGATAATAATGAAAAGATTTGTTTACTTAAAAAAGCTCTATATGGGTTAAAACAATCTGGAAGACAATGGTTCATAAAACTAGATAATGAACTGAAAGCATTACATTTTCTCCACAAGCAGATCCATGCGTTTACATACTAGCGAAAGGAGGGTGAATCATAGTTGCTATATATGTAGACGACATACTCATTGCTTACTCATGTTCAAAAACGCTAAACACAATCTTTAGCCACAAAATTTGAATTGAAAGACTTAGGTAAACCAAATAGATTAATTTAGATATCAGTTACATCAATAAAATTATGTCAAGAAAAATACATAGATATTATTTTAAATAAATTCAAAATGGAACAATGTAAAGCTGCTGTCACACCTATCGAACCCGGTTTGACATTAAAACCTAATAAAGAGAAAAAACGAGAATTACCGTATCAAAACTTGATTGGTACACTGATGTATTGCGCCGTAGCTATAGACCTGATATTCAATCCGTAAGTTATCTATCTCAATTCAATGATATCTATGATGAAGAACATTTTAAATGCGCAAAAAGAATTCTCAGATATTTAAAAGGTACAAAAACTATTGGTTTAAGATTTGAAAAGAAATGCTCAAATAATTTATATGGACTGGCAGATGCTGACTCAGATAAAATGGACAGAAAATCATTTTCTGGATATTGCTTTAAATATGCTGGCTCATGTATTAGTTGGTCATCAAGAAAACAAAAGTGTGTAGCACTTTCAACAGCCGAAGCTGAATATGTCTCATTGTCTGAAGCTGCAAAAGAGGCAATCTACTTAAAAAGACTATTTGAAGACTTGGGCATTTCGCAACAAACTGTAGTAATATTTAATGACAACCAAGCTGCACTAAAGTTGAGTGAGAACGATAATCACATCGAAGTCGAAACATTCGATTTAAAACTACACTTTATTCGTGATAGTGTTGACGTCCAAGTAAAATATATGGACACAAAAACGATCTGACTTACATCATAAAGGACTACCAGGACCAAGACTATCACAACTGAGAGTTGTCTGGGCATTCTGTAATAGTGTTGTGAGGAGGAGTTTTTTGGCACATCACTACTCACTCGATCACCGCTTTAAGATGAAAAATATATCGTCAAAAAAAACTATATTGTCAAAAAAAAACTATATTGTACATTCGTAATATTATATTAACAAAATAAACTATTTATACTATACAAGTCGTTTTTTCATCGACCAAGTACATCAATAACATTTTTCACAATTTTTATCTATCTGTTTGTTCCGGCTAATGTCTGAAATGACTGGACCAATTTTGATGGGACTTTTTTTGGCAGGTAGCTGATGTAATAAGGAGTAACTTAGGCTACTTTAATTTTAGAAAAATAAAGTTAAATTCTAAGCGACGAAGTCGTGGGTACAGCTAGTAAAACAAATTTTTTAATTAGGCTACTAGTGGTAAATGGTTATTGTAGCCTATAGACGCCTGAAATAAGAAGAGTACCAGGGGTGTCACGGCCCCGTTGCCGACTTTTAAGAAACGTTAGTATATCTACCCTTCTTGAAAACACCACGATGTAGTCTCCCGAAAAAACCTCAGTAGGTAATTAATTCCACAATCTAAGTGTACGCTGAAGGAAGCTCCTTTTAACCGCACTATTTCGAGACTATCTAGGTATTAGTTTGTACAATCTAATAGAGTAGGTAAAGTCATGGTACCTTACTGGCCAGTCTAAATTCCATAATATAAAAAAGAATGTACTTTTGGTTTTTAATGTCACTCAAAATAAATTACAATTATATCTGATTGCTTATTTTTTTTTCCCATATTCATCGATCTCCTTTTCAGTGATGGAACAGGCAAAGATCCTTAGACCGTACAGCCTAGTCTACGTTTAAACTTCTTCATATTTGAACAAGTGATGAGGCCAAAGGCCACTTCTTATGTATGTTTATTCATTATGTTTTCATTCGTGTTCA